ACCCTCTCATGGGTCCTCAGAGACTATAAGTGGCTAGGTTATCCGGGCTAAGAGATAGTCCTACCTTCTAGTGGGTTATAATGCCCATTGTATCTTAGGGCCATTGACTGACGCACCACGGTCCATCAACTGGTTGAAGATTTGTATCTTAAGGTGAAAGAAGAGAAAGGGGCAATTGAGTTCTGTTAAGCATCCATGGCTCCCGCTAGCAAGGGAGCAGAGTAGATGGAAATTGTGTAAGTAATGAAGACCCCCCTGGCTCCGTGCTATCCTATTAGCATCAGGACGAGCAGGGCACCCCATCTAAGAGATTATCTAAGGCGGCCAAGATGGCCATAGTGATTCCTCCTTTTATTCTCTGTGTTATCATTGGGATGGTTCTAGGCGATGCCGGGCCCCTCCTTACAAATCCCGCAAATTCAGGTTGTACTGATGCTCGAATACTGATTGAGCAAAAGGACGCTGCCTTCGTGCAGCACCTTTGCCCGGGCTAGTTCCTACGGAGGATCCCTTACTCCGTAGACCGCCTCGCGGCGTCGCAGATAGTCCGCGAGCTCGCGAGCTACGCTGCCGAAAGGCATCGACTAGTGGCCGGTGGCTGATCTTTTCAAGATCAGGCAGTCCGAGCGCTTCGCGCACGGCAAACGGCCTCTATTTAACTCTGTTGGGATAGTTGGTGCATCACCCCATGAGAATGTTCGGACTGCCGGTACAATTACTTATGCCTTTTCTAGTTTTACTCTGCCCCTCCTGGCGTCCTTACACTAAGGATACGTCCGGAGCCAGGCGGCCGCCCCCGGGTGCCTTAGGCACCCTCCAGTACCGTATTCCAAGACGGGAAGTTCCTAATGATCAAAGATCATCTTGTTGGGCCTTCTATGCCTTCTATGATGGCTTACCGTGTTGGTCTCTAAGCTGGACGTACTTTTCTCTAGAGCGTGCATTAGAGCCCCTGCGAACTAGAAGGTGTGGGAAGGTGTGGGTGTCTGTTCTTATTTACTTATAAGTTTTTGGTTTTCCCGAATACAAGCTACTAAATCGGCTCTCCAAGCCATAATAATGAATCGAATAGGGGATTGGGCATTAATGATTGCCTTATTCGCTTATTTCTGCCTCTCTGGATCTCTAGAGTTTTCTACACTGAACAGCTTGGCTCCTTATTTTGAACCAGCTCTTATAACTGTATTATCTTTAGGCTTTCTGGTGGGAGGATTGGCCAAAAGTGCTCAATTAGGTCTTCAAGAAGGCCCGTTGGGGTTTATGGGGATTGCCCTATGAATAAAAACGGGCAGGGTCAAAACCCTTCGCCTGGAACCAATAGTACTTTGCTATTTGCGGGAAACTCCTTCGGATCCCCAGGGTCCGCTGAAGCGGAACAACCCCTTGGGTCATAGGGAGAATCCGCAGGAAACCGATAAGGATGACGACAAAGAAAAGGCTTCTCATTTT